TCAGCGTTTCCTCCTTGCTCCGGCATCGCTGTAATAGTGCCTCTAAGAAACCGGAGATCCGAAGGGATTATCCATTTCGTCACAAAAAAGCTACTAAGTTGTATGCAATCTTACTTTTATGTAACTTTTTTAAATGCATATCTGAATAAGAACTACCAAGGAGTCTTAGATATGTCGCTAAAGAAGTTTCAGTGATGAATCTTATTTATACCTATGACCTTTGATTGTCAAATAGATGACAATCTTAATCATTGTCGAATGATTTAGATCTTAGATTTAGATTAACGAAGCGATACAAAAACTGTTAAGGGATTCAATAGTAGGTACTAATAAAACAATGGTATAGCAATCTGAAGATTCATTTTATTGAACTTGGTGTACAATATTTATAGTATAACAATTTATTCAGATATGTTCTTATAATAATATTAATCGACACTATTTACACTGGTGCTAACTATATACAACTAAGTATCTACATTTTAAAGACGAAATTTCTTAGGAAAGATAAAATATGTGTTTCATATACCTTGAAATTAACCTTGAAGGGCACTGATGTGAATAGTAGATAATATTTTCAATGATATTAGTAGAAATTAACTCTTATATTACATACATTACATAAAGCAATTACAGAGTGTGAATCTTTTTTCTTTGCAGCGGTCGTTAATACAATGTATTGATGTTCTATTTCTTGCATATTTTTGATAACATAACAATGTAAGGCGTAACGTTACATATCTTCATTTATTGGTGGTACTAACAATGACTTGCAGATGATTAACAGGTAGAATTAGCTTTTTGGTCCGGATAATTTTTATTCGAGAGATTTTTTTTTCGTTTATTAAGGATTCAACTATCAGGAATTGATTGCGATAAAAATTATAACAAAGTATTGTCAGCTAAGGTGCCAATAAAATGTCGAAATTGGTAAAAACTAGTTTTTCGCGTCTGGAGCGAAAACTAAAGCTCCTACGAAAAAAGTTGAATGTACCAAAAGTGCGCAAAAATAAACAAAGAGAACGAATCCCCGGTGAGCAAAGTCATCTGATCGCCCGAAATTTTCACGAAAAACACGTTTTTCTTGTAAAACTTGGCAAATTGATAACTTGCGTTCGGGAAGTGGTAGAGAGCTGAAATTTAGAAATGGTGTCAGTGTTATAGACCTGAAAATGTTGTAATTTTTTTGCAAACCATCGACTTTTGCCAAAAGTGACCGTTTTTCAAGCGATAAGGAGGAGTTATTAATTTTTGAAAAACGTTATAATTTTTTACCTATGTATGTATGACTACAAATATCCAAAGCACGAGCTTTTGTAACGGGCATTCCCTAAACTATACTTCACTTTGACATATAATTTAACTGTAGTTACAGGACTACAAGACTAACAACATATCCAAATTTTAGTTCTCTACCCTTTTTCCCAACGCGAGTTATCAATTTTCCAAGATTTGCAAGCAAAACTTTGTTCTTTGCAAATTTCTGGCGATCTGATGGTCCGATTTTACTCTCTCTTTGTTTTTTATTACGCACATATGCTACATTCAACTTTGTTTACTAGCTTTAGTTTTCGCTCCAGACGCGAAAAACTGGTTTTTACCATTTTTGTATTTTGTTTTGGCACCTTCGTTGACAATATTTTGTTATTATTTTTATAGCAATCAATTCCTGATTGTTGAAGCTATAATAAAAAATATTTCTGCTCAAATAGGATTTTTTCAATTTTTTTTACGCTAATTCTACCTGTCTATGATATCTCCCTTAGTAACGTAGTAGTAGCAAAACTTGAATACATTTTTCATTTTATTTTATCATTTTTCTACTGAAGGTTGTCGTCGCGTAGACAGATAATCAGTTATGTGGCTTATTTTAACATATGTATTTGACTAAAAACAAAATTATTAGAAATAAAAGCTTTCTTTGGTACCTAATATGAAAAATGTAAAAATAAAGCAAAGAAAATATTTAAAAGAATCAATGTCTGTTCCTATTTTATGCGCTGCCGTAAAATGTTTTTAGGGATGAAAAAAAGTCTGTTTACCTACGTATGCGAAGCTGTGAGCAAAGCTCAATATAAAATTAAAATGTATTTGTATACAAGATCCGTGTCATCTTATAAATAAATCCTGTATAATTTACTGTTATAGTCACCACACCCTTGTACAGCGATGTTATGCTAGATTTCATTTCTAACCAGTAAGTAACTGGCGGTTATTTAAACATCAATTATTTTCATATTTTCACAATATCTAATTAGAATAACTATGATAAGTCACTCCATTCACAATACATTTATTTTGTTATCAGTCTCACTACCATTTTGTAACCAATTTTACAAATTACGTCGAGATTGTACGTAAATAAGTTTACAGCTAACGTCACGATAGCATAAAGAAGAAACATACGGCTTACCAGGTCAAGAAGTCATTACGATGCATTCCTCGGATTGTGTTTAAGAATTAAGACTATAGAATAAGACATCGTTTTATGTCCTCCTAACTAATTTTCAATGTAGCCGATGCGATGCCTTGAAGCAATGTGCAATAATTATTATGTTTTTCCGCTGTGTCTCAACTAGGGACCTTGGATACAATCCAAGTGACCCGGTCGGGTCAAACCGAATGATCAAATATTAACATATTTTACTTTGAAAGTAATATAAAATACATTAAAAGTAAAGCTTAATTACATAACTATTCAAAGCAGAAACTTAAAGCTTAAAATATTTACATACTTAGTTACTTAATTTATTCAGTAGATATTATAAAAGTCCAGTTTTTAGCAGAATGCTACTATGGAGGGTAGAGGCAAGGTATAGATAGTTCAACTGAGTTGTGCGCGCGGCCCTATGTGTGCGTGGGCTTGTAAATATACAACTTTCATTCGTGTGGCAGTCGTCGTCCGACTGCCGCGTCACTGCCACACGAATGAAAGTTGTATATTTACAAGCCCACGCACACATAGGGCCGCGCGCACCACTGAGTTGAACTATCTATAACCCTTTTCTTTGTGTGAAAAGTGTCCGTGAAAACGAGTCTAATAAGGGTGGCGATGCGGTAGCCTAGGATAAATTTATAGAGGCTTAAAAAATAATTAGACACTATGTACTAGACTGCGAAAATAGACAATGAGTTTTACAGACAATAAATAAACGTGTAGTAATAACTTTCAGACAGTAAAAGTATTATAATATTTGAACTCGTTCACTCTGTTTACAACAGTTATGTTCATATTGTAGTTTTTCGTACACATACAGCTGGACACTTTTTCAACTTTCCCCCATATGAGATGGTTCTCCTTGCCTCTACACTCCATAATTGCAGCTGTACGTGAGGTAACTTGAACGTAAGGGATTCTATAATATTTCTTCAACTTTCTGACAACCCATATTCTTAAAACACGAAGCTTCTTATCGAACAAGGTTGGACCGCACGTGTTTGATAGTGACCTCAGGTTTATCTAGATATTTTTTCATAAACGTAAACGTGGATTTTGTGTCAATAAAACGCATTTAAGCTATCATTAAATAAAATATAGCTATCTAAGAATAAAGTAGGACTTAGGGGAAGAACAATTCTATATTTGTATCTTTTTTAATAAAATAAAATGCATATTATTATAGACAAATACGTCATACACTACATGCCCACGTATAATATAAATGTCTATTCGTTTGATCAATTTAAAAAAAAACACATGCCAACTCGGCTCGACGTAACTCCTTTTTTTTATAATTCGATACAGAAATTGCTTCGCTTTGGTAAAATTGACAAGGAAGCGCATGAGGTAATTTATGGATAATAAGTTCTACCTTCAGCGAACACATCATATATTATGTTTTTGCGTCAACTTGTGAAATTTAAGGTAAGTATAAATCGGAGAAACCAACATATGTCAAAATCTTTGTAATGCTTGTACGCCTTTTACGTTATGTATACTTTTCTTTTTCCCATACGCAAGATGGTCTTTGTCTCGTGCGTATTTAGGAATAAAGGGATTTTCTAAAACTGACAGAAAAGCAAGTTAGTTGTACCTACCTATATATTTACATTCACTTTAAATGTATACGATATTCATTAAAGAAATTCAGTTTAAAGTGAGTGGAATATCTTTCTAGTTAAAATATAATCCGGACGGAAGAAATTTAAATGAAACATCATAATACATTATAAACGTTATCTTTTTTTTAACCTACAACCGCTAGTAACAGTACAAAAAACCATTTAATTGTCAGAGTAGATTGGGTAAATACCCCGGGTGATGGAGTTGTAGTCAAGTAGTTATGAGTTTAAATCCTACTAGTAGGTACATCAACACTATAAAACCCCTCAACAGTTGCTGGGCTGGTAGTTCTGTGATCGACTTATTTTTTAAGTCAACCCATACAACATAACCCCTCCATAAAAGTCAACAAAGCGCTATTGATGCCATATTTTATTCAGTCGAAGCTTCATGACAGCAGGATGAAATCTTTAAAAGAATACTTCTTAAAATGTACACCTTTAAAGCCTATATCAATCTAATATTTTATTACATACTTAGTTACTTTTTATTACTTGGTTAAAGGTTTAAAAAAAAAAAGTTTACGTATTGCTTTACATGGACGTAGAATTTAAGATGTGAGATCTGTCCTCAACTATTTTTGGAGAAAACCATAGTTAATTGTATCTTTATTCATTGTATAAATATTGATTTAATCATGCTAATACTTACAAGTCATGAAACCCCTTTGTCTAGCGATTGCGGTCCAGTACATAGAGTTACTATAAAGATAGTAAATTAAATCTATGGTCCAGTATGAACTGTTTAGTACAAATTGTTTGGAAAAAAGTATGACACCTTGTAAATATTACCGTGATCAAGTCTCATTAAACAACTATTTATTTAAAAACGAGTCTCGACAATTTAAAATTACTATTTATGTTAATACACGCTAGTATATACTAAAGCAAAATTCGTCGGCTTACGGAATGACTCAATTAGTATACTTGATTTAAGGCTAGTGAGGTGTAGTAGCGGCGTATGTCAGGTTGGCGATGGTAGGCGGTGTTCGCGTCGGGAGCAGAGGCGTAGGGTACACCCGGCATGGCGAGTGTGTGGACTTCGGGCCCAGCATACCCAGAAGTAGATATGACACCAGCGAGCCGGAGAGAAGACCACCGTTGTATGAGAAAGTCATCATGTTACCTGACACATAAAATTTTACAAGATCAAATTTATAGAATAGTAAAGATTAGCTTAATAAAGTGGCTGATTGTAAAAAAGATATAAATATGGAGCAGTAAGATTGAAAATCTAGTTTTGATAAGAAAATAAAAAAATAAAAATTATTTTAGGAGAGCATTTCAGAAAGTAATTATATTGTAATTATGGATTACGTGAGCTGAAAATTTCATCGCAGGTTTTCTTCGGAAATGGAGTCTCCTAAAATCCTGGTTAATTATTCGTTCCATCACATATTTATGGGATGGAACGATGGAACGAACGGTAGTGCTTATCACTTGCATCATTTGATGCAAGTGGTAAGCACTACCCACGTTAGAGTCTACTCCTACTTAAGTCTGTCGCACCATTGATAAGTCGTTTTTATGGCAAGCGAAATGTTGTTTGAATAGCAATTTACCGTGCCCACTGCTGGTGATAAAAAAGGGGTTTCCGCGTAGAAAGAAAATGTTATGACATTCTGAATCTTTCTTATATCTGGGTATACAAAAGATATCTTTTATGTGTATTAGTCAAAATGTTGATTCCCATACAACATGGGTGTATCTCTTTCTTAAAGAATTAGCCAATTTCGATGTTTGTCTAATCATCTTTTAAACTAATTGTTTATTAAGGTTTTTTTTTTTTGCGTCGTAGTCGCTCTTTTATAAGCCAAATTAAGTAAATAAATATAATTTTCACGTTAATTGCAACGCCAATTTACTAGGTTGTTTATCTTAAATGTCAAAGAAAACTTATGATAAAGGTTAGTAATTTAGTAAGCCACGTTGTTGCGCTCGTGAGATATACAAGTAAACAGGCAATTAATAGACCTAAAAACCTACTTAGAAATGGCGTAGTTAGCCTTAAAAAGCTAATTTCATCAATTTTATACGTTGATACTCATTATAGATCCAGATATTGAGTAAAGGATAAGTGTTAAAATGTAAAAAACGAGTGTGCTTTAGACCTAGACCTTGTGGTCTAAAGTAAAACTTCTTGGTTATGAGAGAAAGAGAGAAAGAAAACCTCTCTATCTCTTGCCATTACAGTAATATACGAAACGTAACTCTCTCTCTTTCTATCTTCACTAACTTATATCTCTCTCTAAACTTCCGTTCGCCTCGTCCGATCACACTTTTAGTAACGCTCTCGCTCGCATTCACCAACTTACTCCCCAAGTAAAGCGTACCTAAAGAAGTTTTACTCCAATAAAATATAAGAAAAAATGTCTGTTAAGTACGTTTCATTTTCTTTAATATTGGCTTTACTGGCTAGTGTGAGTTTATTTCACATCAACTCACTCTCGACGGCGAGCGCGTTTGGTGAAGATTTCAGTGCGCGCCACTTGCAAAGCCAATCGCGGTCACGTTACGATCGACCGAGTAGATGTGAAATAAACTCACACTAGGCTCTCAGGAGTGAACCTACACTCTGTGTTCACTGACTGACTCTCGTTAGTGCTTAGACGAAATATTTTAACCAACCAAGTTTAAAATCAAAGGCCCAAGTGTGAGTCGCCGAAGCAGTCACCGTGACGATGGAGTAGATTCGAAATAAACTCACACTTGCGCCTCAGATCCAAAACTGATTTTTTATTCATTTCATGCAACTTTCACACAAGGATCGATTTTTGACAAGAGATGTTCTCAATACATGTAAACTTAGTCGTAATTCCAATTTCGATTTTTTAATAACCCTGAAAGAAATATAGATAGATAGATAGATAATACTTTATTTGTACACTAGGGTTACCTTCAGGTTAAAGATTTTACTCTTCACATTACCCTGTATTAAAACTTGTTGATTTCGTAGATAATTATGTACTTAAAACTATTTTTGTGATGTAAGTGAAAGATTTGAACAGAATTAAACTTTTTTAATGTGAGGTATTACCGTACATACCTATGTCGATACTAGTCGTACTTTAAGCGACCAAGAGGTTATCTTACTTTTTATTTTAATTGTTTTTTTGTTTATGAGCTTACCTTTCTACATTCTTTTTCTCTTTTTTCTTTTATGATAGAGGAGGCAGGCCAGCAGACGGGTCACCAGATGGAAAGTGACAAACACATTGCCGGCCTTTTAGGAAGGAGTACGCTCTTTTCTTGAAGGTTTCAAGGTCGTATCGGTCCGGAAATATCGTAGACAATAACCCGTTCCACAAATTGGTAGTGCAAGGCAAAAATTGTCTCGAAAAGTGCACAGTAGTGGAGCGCCAACTATCTAGGTGATGGGGATGAAAATGGCGGAAAGATGCGGCCAGTATTAGTCCGAAGAATTCCTCGGTGCACTCTCCATGATATATGGGATAGAGAATGCAGAGTGAAGCCACATCTCTACGTAAGGCCAAGGATTGTTTTTATTTAGGCTCATGTTCTAAAAGCTTGCGCAAAGTTTTACTTAAATTAAAAGGAAAAATTGAATGAAACTCCATTTACACAAAGGATTTTTGGTTTTGCCAAAACAAAGACCTCATATATATTCACTTCAATTCACTTACCTGCAATTTCGCGATGTTCCCTTCCAACACGGGATGGAGCCAATATCATTGGTACGGAGCCAAACAGCCCATTCGAGAAACCTAGCACTACGGAGAAAAGTATAGGATATATCTGTAACAAGAGTATTGTTTAATTTATAAATCGCTATACAATGGGAAAATCACAAAAAATAACAATTGTGCAGAATAACATTTAGCATTCACACGATATTATAATGATACTAAGTATATTTATAAATACATACAATTCAAGTCAAATTATATAACCTGACCTGCATCGCTCCCGGTGCAAAGGTGCTCATGATACTGGCAGCATTGCTTCGCTGAATTGTAACGGACATCCTTTGCACCAGGAACGAGCCGGAGAGGGAGTCACCACCTTTATCCCTAACTCAGCGATCAATCTCCGCAATCAAACTTTTAGCTTCCGACCCCCAACTGCCCAAAGTCTCCTTCGCAATGGACACAAAATTCCACCTGTTTTCATTGAATTATTATTATTTAAAAACTTGAACAGGATTTTCAAGGCTCATCATCTTTTACGGTGGGGGTAACGCATATCAGATACTGCTGGCATTAAGGAGGTCAATTGATAATCCCCCACCCGCGGTTGGCAAGTATCGCTGGCGTGCTTAGCTACAGAGCTCTAAAGATGGGCCAATAAAGTTGGCCTTGTGTGAATGGTACCACCGCTGTTTTAAGTGTAGGCACTGATAAAACACTCGAGCCATGCATTCCTGTGAAAGAGTCGGAGTGAACAAAACATATGTTTTGGATCAAAGTGATAGGTCGCTGCAAGTGTAGTGCTTTCTTGTTGTTATGAAAACGCTGCAAGATTTTTTGTTAGAGTGGTACCTTCATCTAATTTTGTGGAAATCCGTCATGTCTACGTAATTCAAAGTGCTCCCTCTCCAGTTAGTTGGGGTCCTATTTCAGGCGCAAAGTGGCACACCGGATGGTTTTAGTTAATAAGAGTTTAAAAGTTAGCATAACAAACAGATTTTTGCATTTGTGACAATGCTTATTATTATATAGACTGCTAATTTGGTATATACTTATAGCTGAGTGAGTGAGTAAAAACGCCTGTCTAATAGATAGGCGCTCAGATCGACAAGCACTTTATGTGAAAAAAAGGTGGATAATGTAAATTCTGGCTACGGAATGATTTTGTTATTCCTTTAAACGGGTTTTTACTTATAATATGAGACACAGATTGCAGGAATGTGTGATAATTATACTAAATATAGGAATTGTTTTTGTTTTTAGTTTATATTTATAATCTACATGCCTCGCCTGATTATAAATTATTCTGTTTTCTTTTAGGAAGAGATACTAATACTTAATAGTTTCCTAGAATTCTTTGTTATTTATAGGAGGTATGCAGAGAAGGATGTTGCCTTGAAGGTAGAATTTTGAATACAAGCAAAAATTTACTAAGACTTTATTTATATTGATTAGCTCCTTTGCTTTTTTCAGACTAGACGTTTTCTTTATTTGTAGTTACTATAAAACGTTGGAAGTCCCTACTAAGACCAGCCTGTAAGCATCACTCCAGCAATTCCAGCGATTGGATATTGATAAACAAAAGATATTGGAAATTAAATGGAGAAAGAAACAAGTTTCACGTACATCGCCGACAATATGCGGCGACTGTCTCGGCGCAGCACAGAGCAGCATGAGCGGCACAAGCAGCAACCGAATTCCACTCGCCATTAGCAGTTGGCTGCGACTCCATTCATATGGCCACGCAGCTGCTATCTGTGAAGAACATATTGATAGTAATTGACTGTTAATAGCTTCCAATATTGAGTTTGTTGACTGGGTTTTGAAATTTAAAGAAATATCTTAAAAAGAAACAGCTTAAGTCGCAATATAACTATTCAAGTTAGTAGATTTTTTTATGCTTGCTATTGCTGAGGGCTTAATTGGAGAAAATCTATTTCAATATTATTAAGGGATCTGAATAATAAATACACAATATTAAAGCTAAGTCTAACTGTGTTAAGAAGTATTTTAAAACAAAGATATTTAAGATTTTCATCCCCTTTTCTTGCACTCAATAGTCAATACACATTTCTACTTATTGCCATCAACTTCAAACCTATAATAGCATAATATGCTCCGAAGGAAAAAGGAAAGTATAAGATGTAATGTAAAAAACATAATAAAATATAAAATATTAAAAAAGAGACAGAAACAGTTACCGACACGAGTAACATTTACGATTGTGAGATAAGTTTATCAAACGGGTAATTATTCATTTTTATTACTTTAAATTTAATTAAGTCCACATTCACTATCTAATGTCATATGGCATTGCACTGGATATCTTAATTGAATTCTCGCAAACTTATTATAAACACCGACTGTGGAAGTTATGAATGGTGTATCGCAATTCCGAAGCGTATGTGCTCCATAGACTCTGGAGGAGGTTACAAAAGGCATAATTAGGTCTTCCCATAAGTGTCCTAAATTATGTCTGTCGCCTAAGCAGTCAAGAAATACAAATCTATCTACAGGTCGACTAACTAACGTAAAAAGGCCAGCAGTAGGAGCCTAGTGTATGGCAATGGAGCGAACTGGAAATAGCTGTTGCTGTTGTGTCGTTGTATTACTCTACCAAGTTCAAAATACCTATACAGAACAAGAAATGTCGCTGGCAGAATTAAGTAGAATTTATTTAATTATGGTGACCAGAGGCGCAACTACGGGAAGTGTCCATGGTGTCCGGACACCCTTAAAAACCTGTGGACACCCCCTTCGAGGATGTCCAAATATTCCGACATAACCCAGAATACGATGGGGACTCTACTTTTTCGGTTTGCTATCAAAGCATATTTGAACGAGTTTTAGGAACTACAAACATACGAGTATTGCGCGCTTGTATTGCCGTTATACAACAGCTCATCAATTATTTTACCACCGTATAAGTGAAATTGCCAAAAAGCCTTTCTTAGTGGGTCTTTTTTGTGCTTGTTTGCTTTGTAATGTAACTTTAACTTTCCTTCGTTTTATTTGTTTCTATCGATTATGATTTGGCTTATTCTTTCAGCGAATTGCAAGATTTTTTTTCTAATTTCCTTATTGCGTTCTCCGTTTATGCAACGTTTTTCATTGATGCTCCGGTTCAATCTATCTATCTGTCTCCGGTTTCATTCGTCGGGGGAGTCGCTGCATATCGATCGCTTGACGAATAAAACCGAGCACAGGTCGAAGTCGGGCTTTCTCCGGCTCGCTTCCTTAGCCAACTCGTTGCTGTCGATGCCGGCTTGGGCCTTGATCCAAAACTAAGTTACGTCTTTGCCCTGAGTCAATGCCTCGCTGAGGTTTCGGCGCGCCTTAATCGCAAAAGGATGCAGGGTCCCAGGGTTCGTCATCGTTTCCAACGCCGCCCTGGAGCAGCTGTAGATGCCACAGCTCTGCATATGGTTAAGAGCTCGGCCTGGTAGACTGTGCAGTACGCTGGTAAGCACAGTCAGCCTGGTTGTCCGATATAGAAAGCACGGTGCGGACTTTGCCCTATATCTTGCTATTATCTGTAAAGATGCGGAGCGGCTGCATGTTCAATTGGTCTGCCATTGTCTTCCAGGTTCTGGAACCGCAAGGCCATACTTAGAGCTGGATGCGGTAGCTCCGCAAGTCGCACCAGGCGTACTACCTCCTAGACTCCGAGCACTAGCTGGCTAGTAGTCAACCATTTGCGCGCTTGGTAGAGATCGGCCGCTGTTCTGATTCGAAGGTCCAGTAGTAGTAAGCCGGCAAGTGGTAGGCCCGAGTTTAGAGAGACGGCGCGGTTGCAGATCTTCTGTGCGAATCCTCTTTGCACACGGAGCTTACGGACACCCAGCTCCTCGACGGCTGCCGCATTCGTGATGACCGGTTCTACTGTCGTGGGGTATACAATGCACACGATTTCAGGGTTCAGTCCCCAGCTCATCTTTGCCGTTCTCGAGAGCTGTTTGTAAATGTTTAGGGCTTTCCTACAGACGCTGCCGACATGGGTGTTAAACGTCATCTTGTCGTCTATAGTAAGCCACAAAATCCCAAAAGCATCATGTCGCAGGTCTTGTGTGGCGCGAATTTGACGTTGTATTTGACACCCCATTTTTTTTTTTTTTTTTTTCCGTGCGGATATCCCCTCGGATACCACCTGTCGGTGGCATGTCGGACTCGAACCGACTAAAACCGCACGCCGCCTCGGGTACTAATAGCCGGGGAACCAGGTATACCATAGAAAGGAAGTCCCTTGTGCCCCGACATAGACACCCCACTCCTGAATGAAGTTAAGGGCGGTATTGTCATTACGCTGCACCTATTTCGAAGTATCTTCGGCGAACAGCAGAATCACGTCATCCGTAAATGCCTGGCCGGTGACGCCCCTTCGTGCAGACCTTTCAGGAGGCGTCTAGGAGGAAATTTCAAAGGTTGGGCCCGCTTATGGACATAAGCTGTTTGCCAACAGTTAAATTAACTCTTCACCAGATTCGACATCTAAAACCACCAGAAAACCACTAACGAAAAACGACCCCGCTCTAATAGGCACTAAATTACCCACTAAACATTACTTTTAGTAATTACGAAAGAAAACCATAAATACCATTTGGTATGGTTATGGTATGATGATGGTGGTACTGACGATGATGGTGCTGACAAAAACGATTAGTATCAACTAATCGTTTTTGTCAGCACCATCATCGTTGGTTCGAGATTAATACGATTCTTTGGTACCGATTTGTTTTAAAACGTTTATTGGAATTTCATATTTGTTGCAGCATTTTCCTTTCAACTATAAACCACAGCGTATTCTTAAAATAGCAGATAAAATATTTAACTTCATTGACTATTGACTGCCTCAGTCGTGCAAAGTAGCATATGCGAAAGCTGTGCTGAGGTCTCGGGTTCGATTGCCGGGTCAGCAAATGTTTATATGATCTGCAAATATTTGTTTCGGAGTTTTTTCTATGTGTAATATATAAGTATTTACAAAAAAGGTATATAAGTATTATATCAGCCAATTTAGCTTTCATAGTATAAGCTCTGCTTAGTTTGAAACTAGATGGCGGTGTGTGTAAGATGTCCGAAAATATTATTATTATTCCTCTGTTTATACCTATAGTTTCTCAACTCAACATAGGCACTAAAATTAAGTAGTATTAAGTAGTAATACCAAAGGTCGCTAATTCCTGAAATGTCGAAGTCCCTTGGATCCTTGAGCATCTTTGAAGAGCAATGGAAGCACTTTTAGTATGTGGAAGTTCTTTGACACGTTGGGCATTGGTAGGCAACAACGGACCGAGTTTAATTGGTTTGAATGATATCAATCCTTGTTTCTCTTCTGCTACTCAACTGGATCATAAAGTCGGATGCATTCCCAGACCCAATATTGTTGAATTTTCTCCTGTGCCTTCTGGGCACATCATATAGATCATCCTGTCTGTCTGTCTGTCCAAGCCGTAGGAAGATAGTTACCAACCTAGATTACGTCCTCGAAGTTGTAGCCCACATTATTGACTTCTTTCTCGACTCCGAAACTTCTCTATTGCATTCCATTGTCTAAAATAAATAATCCTTCTCTTTCTGAAGACTTCTATCCAATCCCCATTCTTCCTTTCCTATGAACCGTTCTTGAGTTTTGCGTACATAAACAGTTCTCACAGTTCATCTTTCAACAGCATTGCCTAAGTTCTCTATAATCTTACTATTACTACTAAACCACTAAAAAAAACACCAGTTTTAGTGGAAAATCCACTAGGTTGGCAGCACTGGACATTAGACGCAGCCCTTCTGGGTCTTGCAGCGATGTTCAGGCCCGGCGTACCTTAGCTTCACATAGCTGTCATCTAGGTAGCTGTCCAGTAGCAGATATTGGTCGGGCTACCTTCCTCAACCAGTCGCACCTTGATGGCTGGCCACCATTATACTGTCGAAGGCTCCCTCTATATCCCCTGAAACAAGCATGACTAACTTCTTCAGCTTAATTTCTGCTTTGATTTGGTTCACCAGAGTATAGACTACAGAGTATAGGTACTAGGTGCCACAACAATTTTATTCAGAACTTTGCCCAATACAGCCAACAGGCCGATGGGCCTATATGGTTTGGCTCTCTGATAATTGTCCTTCCTCCACACCACGACTGTGGCCTGTGGAAGTGGCCCAGAGTTGGGCACTTGTTGGTCAGGGCAAGAAACGTGTCAGAGTTCTGAAGAATGGCTGAACGGCAGATGTCCGCAGTGAAGCTATCTGCAGCTGGCGCTTTCCTCGGGTTGAAGCTCTTTACAACATAAAAAGTATCAGCTGCCATTTTAAGTTTGTAGCCCCAGCGGTTTAGGTTCTGCGTTGATGAATCAGTCAGTAAGTCAGGACAGGTAACTTTAAATATATATATATATGTACCTTACTATTTTTTTTAGTCTTGTATGATCATCGGTTCTTGATTGATACGTTTGCCAATGTTTAAGTCATGAAATTAAATGTCTTGAATTTGTTAAAAAATACATTAAAAGATCCATTGGGCACTTATATCGCATATCTTAACCTGCGAGACAAAAGAATAACAAATTCATTTTATTTTTTCTGGAATTACATAAAAAGATAAATTGCTCTAAATTCGCTGGAGTAACTTAATTATTTCGTCTTTGTTTTCTTAATAAGTAGAAAACTTGTCTCAGATTTGATACGGTAAGATGCATTAGGTATTTACCTATTACATAATAGCGTGTATTACCACTGTAAACGTGTAGCGAGTTCAGTAACCCTAATTAAAACATTTTATTTACGCGGTTCATCGTTTATTATCTGCTGAATTAATATGTACAACTAATGGCGCAGTCGTTTTAGCGGTAAAAATAGATTAGAATGAATATCCGATTTATAGATTATTGTTCCGAACACATCCGAAGGAGTACTTTTAACTGCCTATTTTTAATCCTCTTGCATTACAAAAAAAAACAATACAAAAAAAACAGTGGCACTCCGGGAGTGCCGACAGAAGTGAAAACTTGTTTTTTTTTTAATTTTAACAGTTTTTTTTTGTTTTTTCGATTCAAAAAGTGCCGACATGAATATTCTATCCATGTTGCACGTATTTACACAATATATGTTTATATTATATATAGTTCTATTATCGATGTATTTCAACCTAAACTTAACTCTAATGTAAACGGGGTTAATATATGTAGATACTTGTACAGAGAGGTGTCGGTAATGGTAACAGTCTAGTAACGGTAATGGTATCAATCTCAAAAAATACATTATTTTGTTTGTTATTCAAAAATGCCCAAAGCGCCTAAAGAAGGTTTCACTTACACTTTCTTACACAATAAATCCTTTAAAAAAGTTGAACCGACTTCAAACAATACCGACAAAGAGTACTAAAAATTAAATAAAACTATATTTAATTTTTAGTACTCTTTGTCGCTTCCTTCTTTAGGCGCTTTGGGCATTTTTGAATAACAAACAAAATAATGTATTTTTAGTAAGTTCAATTTTTTGAAAGAATAAAACAAAGGTCAAGAATCATTCCATCATCACCTCAGCAATATGACATAACGACTTTTAAACGCAAATACCTTGAAGCTAGAGAAATAAGCTAAACCGCGTTGTCGGGGCTGTAAAATTTTAGAGTTTTCCTCGATTTCTCTAGGATCCCATCATCAGATCCTAATTTGGTGGCAATGAGACCACCTCGGGGGTGTATCCTTTCGATTACAAAATTATTTTTGAAAATCAGTCCACAATTGACGAAGATATCGCGCAACAAACATACAAAAAAAAATTAGACGAATTGATGTATGTGATGTGTTTTTAAAGTCAGTTACAAAAATAACAGGTATTGCAACATGACACAAGTGAAAACTGTAAAGTTTGAAGCTGTAGTTCTGAATTGCCTGACCGAAGCGTCTCTGTCACAAACTGACTTTGTAGGTGTTCTATTTATTTATATATTGTTTGAGCTAAATATCACACTGCTGTAGGACTCTTCATGATCTTATCTCTAACGGTCTCGACAATGTTAATTCTTACTTTTCCTATAAAATCGAAGAAGTTGAAACAAGACATGAGTACGATGGGCATCCAGGAGTCGAGGCGACAGGACGGAATCTCTGACGCTATGCCGGGGTACAGGCTCAGCGTTGTGAAGTACACCAGGCCGATCGACACCTGATATGGGTAGATCGCGCGACCTACTGCCAACCGTGCCAGGACTCCACCTGCAGTTTGAATACAAATATTATTGTGTGACTTACGCTCTTTATTTACTGGAGATTTGTGGATTGTTAAAGTAAGTTAAATTCTCAAAACTTTAGTGGTTAACAGAAACATTGACAGTAGGTACTGATTCACGCTGGTTTGTACACGCCCAAGTAGCATCTCAAGCGGCAAATACGACAAAAGGTCAGACATAGAAGAACGCTTCAATTCATGACATAAGTCCCCCATCGGTTTGAAGCTAGTTAGACATTTACAGGCAGGCAATTTTAATATATACTTTAATATTATTCAAGTACGTTTGAAGGCTCTCCATGAAGTTGGCCTCTCCGGCGACTCGAACACTACGTCTTCTACTTTGTAGGAGGGTCGAGGTGTGCGCAGCGCTGATGATTGCTCAAATGCAACGTTTTCAGGCAACGGTTCTGCAGCAGATTCGCCAGCAGGCACTGATGCAACAGCAGTCGGTGAGTATACTGGATTCGCGAAACTAAAGGTGTTTGTTTCAGTTTCGGCTAAAATGAAAAAAATACAGTTAAAAACAGTTTTTACGCAAAATTATGTAGGTATATCGCAAAATGGAAAAAGTTTAAGTTAATTAAATATCGAATTCTCTAAATACTGTTACTGAACCATCAGACGAGACAAGACTTAGCTACCATCATAATATGGGTTTTAGGACTTACTTTATATATTTACTTATTGTATACTAGCTGACCCGCGCAACTTCGTCTGCGTCTCTCAATAGTATTAAATTTTCTCCGTTTTTGAAACATTCTTCATTGGTGCTCCGCTCCTATTGGTTTTAGCGTGATGATATATAGCCTATAGCCTTCCTCGATAAATGGGCTAACTAACACTGAAAGAATTTTTCAAATCGGACCAGTAGTTCCTGAGATTAGCGCGTTCAAACAAACAAACAAACAAACAAACAAACAAACTCTTCAGCTTTATAATATTAGTATAGATTTAAAATCCATCGGTAGGCATTTTACTATTTAACTACCTGGTACATAAATAAAGTAAATGCTACAAACAGAAATAACTGAAAAGTAAAATAGGGATGATAATAATAAGAAGAATCTTTTTGAACTTCGGGCATTACATAAGTTTTTGTAGTAGGTTGATATTTATATTACCGCTACATAGGGTTTTGATTGACAATTTAGTTTAAGACTCTAAAAAGTGTGTGGTTGCAACCAAACAGGATTTTTAGCACATTATCATATAGAGATAATTTAAACCTGAATAAGCCGAGAAAAAATATTTAGGACCTTTATTCCTTTATGTTCATCATTACACACACCTACTTTTTTGTTTGGTACCTAAGAATAAAAATATAGAAACCATTCCAGCCTCTACAATAAGTATTAACAGGAAATATAAACTAAGAAAAAGTTTAAAGTTTTCTAGAGCAATACCTACTTTCATTTCAATTACAGAGTTCAAACAGTCAAAGGTCACAACTTTTGATAATATTGGTATATTATTGCGAGTGTTATAATTAAATAATGCTGCTACAAGTACTTAGAGTTCGTTCACCTGGGTCAAGGCGACTTAATCATTAATAATAGATTTTTTATTAGTGAAGTTTTATGTAAAAATATTTAAAGTGCATTGAAATTTTATTTTCATTCATTTCGTAAATGAAATTCTGTGTGTGATTAAGAGAGATCTTTTCTTATTTACCAATTTTTATAATGAGTATGATTTGTCAGTCTATCTTAAAATTAAAACTAAACTACTCATAAAAAAAAAAGTCGATAATGTAAATTCATATACCTACTCGTTATTCTCAAATTTTCTATAATAATTTGAATGTGGACCATTGGGTCATAATAATACCACAGTACAATAATATAACGGCTTCTTGTGTTGCCTAATTTATAAAACTATTATATATATAGATGTAACTGATCGTGGTATTAGACCTCAGTCAATTAAATATAGCTATCATTAACATCTTCGGGACTGAAGAATTACAATAGAAAGTGAAGTTGTTAGAATTACCTTGTCCAGTTGTGGACAGTACTGGGCTCTGCAGTTTCAAAACTCCATAACTAGCCTCGCCGGCCTCACTTTCCATCTGAAAATATATTTTAACATACAGAAAATCTCAGTGCGGAACTGAGAATTTTTAGAATTCGCAATTAGTTTTAGAGATAACATATTTAGAGCGTTAAAAACTTTACTGTATTTTCTTTTTTATGGTATGTTTGTGGGTAAATAAGCAAACGACACGATGGCTGGGCCTATATGTCGTCTGAATGGACAGGCCGACTCAAAGCCATGATTCTTTCTACAAAAGGCCTACTCCGACCCTATACTGTACTCGCACAGTACAGAAATGAATATCATTTATCATTAAAGGGTCTCCTGATGGTAAGTGACTGTCGTAGTCCATTGACATGTACAACTCAAGAGTCTCAACTGCGTGGCCCTCAGTCCCTCGCCCCCGAAGGAAGGGAAGGGTTTGGGCTCCGGTAACCTCACTCGCTCGAGAAGTAACGAAAGAACTCCTTAACACCGGTTTTCTGAGAGGTCTAGCCTGGCCCATATGTGTTGAAGCATGGCTCTCCACAATAAAAAAAAAAAAAAAAAAAAAAAAAAAACAGTGTCACTCCGGGAGTGAAAACCTATATACTTACATACAAAGGTGTCGGTAACGGTAACAGTGTCGGGAGTTCAATGTTTTTCTTCCATAAAATACATTATTTTGTTTGTTGTTAAAGAATTCGCAACGCGCCTAAAGAAATTTTCACTCCAATATATTAATTTCAAAATAATTATTTTCAGCCATAGCCAGGAGTGTTTTTAACTTTGATGATAAGAAAATACATACCAAAGTGGCATCTTCATTCGGGTTAAGATGCAGTTGAATGCGTCGCCTGTTCCTCGATTCATTCGTAAGCCTCAAGTAATACTGTACCAGCGGGTGTCGCATCATAACGTGGTGCAGCATCGAATGGGCCAGGAGAATCAATATTGAGAACACGAAGAACATGAATGTACTTCGTTGTGGTTGTCGAAAACCATACTTAGTGATAATTCGGTCTAGAGATACCCAGAAGCCTGCGGCGCCTGTAGAAATTTTTATAGCATTATCGTTTCAATGTCGGAATATATTATACTAATCTTAATGTGTGCATATTTAATATTAGCTCCGTAGAGATGACTTAAGTTGGAGACAAGTTTTTTTTGTCACTATGTTACTCCTCTATGATTACTTTTTATTTTCTTTATCAGACTATGTTACTGCACAGCTCACTGCACTAAGTAACGCCAACCATATCTTCGTAGTAAGAAAATATTAACTAAATGAACAAGAGTATGCATGTAACAATGAAGTTGTTTGATTGTATTAATTTTTTTGGAATCTATTTCTTAAATCAAATCTCTCTCTCAACTCTTATAGGATCCCTTTGTTGCACATCTGTCTATTTGTCAAGGCCCTTTCCCTCACGTATCACGTTAAAATTAATATCTATACAAAGACAGCTAAGTTGTAGTGTAAATAAATGTTTTGATTAATGTTACAAGTACATATGTTAAAAATTTATGAATTATGTTCGAACTTCGAACGCCAGGCGATAGCTAGTCTTAATTTTAAAGTGTTGAAATTGATTACAAATTACGTACCAGACGTCATGATCGTAACCATTAATCAACTTTATTTTCTTTTTTAATGAAGTAATTAATTGGTGTAGGTGTTGAATATTAAGAATAATTGACACTTCAAATATTAAATTGCAACTTACTTTCACCTGCCATAACTGCTTGGGTATACCTTGGTGGCAAACACCCAGTAAATCCGTAGTACGAGGCTTGCTGCACCGTGCAGCCGAAGGCCACTACACCTATGGCCACTAAGTTGATGGTGTAGGAGACATCTCTTGAGAAGCCGTCCCATCCTATATTGCATACAGCCACAAACAACATTGTTGCTAGAGATACTAGGATACCTGGAATTACAAAAATCGTAGAATGACAAAAATCCTACTGTACCGTACCGATTATTATATTCAAAATATTTATTTTGCAACATTTAGACTGCTGAAATGACTGCTGAACTATATTTAATACCTACTTGCTATTTAATGCCTAGTGAAACGGCTTTATTACCACAGGTGTTTCTATTACCATGATTTTAGTAGATTAAGAGAAAAATTACAGATCATCATCGTCTCAGCTAATGTCCTAATCAACTAAGCTAAGTTAACTATTTAAACTAGACGTCACTAACTGACTTCCAAAACAGCCTCTGAAAAGACCTAAGTGGCCTGCTTTCACAATCGGTCTGCAAACTTTATTAACTATCTGTCACCTTGTTGCTCGATTTCCTAAGTTGCACTTTATGGTCCGTCAGTCCGTGGACTCCAAGAATTTTTCATATCTATCGGCCGTCTGTTCTGTATTACGTTATGTTTATTAAAAGTGCTAAAATATGAACACATATTTTTAGCACTTCTGTAACGTTACTAACACTCAACACCTTATTATATTTAAAGGTTGTAGATGATAAAATAAAGAGTACCAGATGCGTACCAAAAGTGATTCTAGTATTATACGTAAAAAGATCCAGTAGCAGGTTGTTAGCCACAACCGCAAAGCATGCAGATGTGATGTAAACAGTCGACATGTCAAACATTATTGTAGAGTTCGGATAGTGGTGTTGGAAGTAATCCACGGCCATTATGAAACTGAAAATGTAAAAACAAACAAATCAGAAAAAATAATCATAATTTGATTATAATTTAAATAGCGTAAATTCAAATGCTAAAGGAAAGTAAAAGTAAGAGGCTTGTAGTCGTAATTTATGGTAAGCATTTTGGATTTTGGTAAATGTTTTTATAAGTTCACAGCCTTTCTTCAGAATTTCCCTATTACTTGTGTTGTTGATGGCAGTCGCTCCACGTAAAAAATCGAAGTTCAACTGTATTTGTTAGTCAATATATCTCTTCTCTTATACCCCTGTTAATATTCTTTTATACTGCCCTAAAACATTAATTGACGTCTTTGCTTTGTTCGTTTCTTTTTACATATTAAAATGTATCAAGTCAGATCAAGTCTCACATCTATATATTCTATATTTCATTAGCCGAGATTCTTCTTCATTCAATTTTCAAAAGCTGTGGTTCAAATTAACGCCTACATATTATTATTAGTAATGCCTTCTTTACACATGGCTTCGTGTAATTTAATTGACTTCTGTAATGTGTGGTATTAAAACAACAAAATATTGTTTTATTGTTTTACGAACAAACCCTTCGAAAATCTTGTAGGTACAATCAATTCGGTTTGACGATTCGTTATTTGAACAAACCTGACACCGGATAAAGTTTATTGGAGTACCTGTACTTCCCAAGCAGTCAATGGATATCTAAGTAGAACAGATTAAGCATGTTAAACTAATGAAAGTCAAATAAATATCGAAAAGATTAGTGTCCTAAAACTGTTCCAAGTCTATTTTCTAAACCTATTAGCAGTTTGTGGAGAACAAGACTACACCAATATATGAAGAAAAGAAAAGGGGGTTTCAAGGATGGTACGGGTGATCAAACACGGGCTCACGAGAGAATCTTGCTTGACCGAATCTTTACAGCAAAATAGTTTAGTATAATATATCTATGTGATAGGAACGATTCGTTTCATACAAATATTATTAAGTATTTATTCGCGATTATTGTATTCTTACGAATCCCAAAAATATACTTGATTTTTATTAATGTGTACTAAGAAAACTTCTGATGTGATAAAAACAAGCCGTCTTCAGTTTCGTCAATAAAAGTTCCCAAAACCGGATAGCAATTTCTTATCGCACTTCGTATAATAAAATGTACTGTATAAGATTTTAAAAATTGTTTTATACTTCTTGCTGGCCTTCGTCTTACTTACATAAGCAACATTTTGTATATTAAATAAATATGTAAGTATACAATGCCAAAAAGGACCTAAACAATTTACATAATATTCTTATATAATTAATATGTTGTAAGCGCCTACTTGTTTTACACTAACAATACTCGTAGTCACATCAACCAAAAAGTTAATATGGAAGTTCTCTTTCTTTGTCTTTTGTTTTGACGAGGTTGGTAAATCGTTTATTCTAAAGTGAAGTAGATTTATCTTACCTGTTAAAGGGTAAAAGGAAGGCCGCCCCTGCTATGCATAGTGTTAGATACACGGAGTTGTATCTGTCCGGGGGCGGAGCGCCGGGGTCCGGCATGGATGAAAGGGGCTCACCGCGGGCAGCACGAATCGCCTCTATGCGGGCGTACCCGCGACCTAGAGTCTCATTCATTTTCCCTTAAAATTCTATCATTTGTCTAGATATCTATAAGTAGAACTAGTGTTCATCGTAATCACTCTTCACACAGGATGTAAAATGAGTATCGTTGTAACTTTTCATTTACTCATTTTTTTCTTCAACTTAATCACTATTGAAGATTGCACATTACAATATCAAGATAATTTTATATTTGGTTACTATAAATTGTAAAAAAGTATTTTAAAGTAATTTTGGAATAGCTTTGTTTTTGGTTATTGTTAAACACTTATATCAACAAAATACTTCGCCGGCAGATCTTGACAGCCGCAGACAATGCGTCACGCATGCGCGGTACACATTGATTTTCAGTGAGAGGAATGCTTTGGCTTAACCTGGCATTTAAGCTGTATTTAAACATAGGTTTACGGTTTGGTCAAACCAAAAAGCCTGAATGCATTTTTTGCTACGTAAATATGTATTAAAAAGATTTGACAAAAAGTCTCGAGCATTATTATAAACTTACAACTCGTGCACAAAACGGATTTGACAAGCTCTTGCACAGTATAAACCTTGGGTGTCGGCCAGCCTAAGGCTTTGTATATCGAGTTTGAGAATATGGAACGAGAACTTTGGGAAAGCAAACGTCACAGTTAAACTGTAACGTCTGCAGACGGGGTGTATTGCTAAACTACAGTAGTATCGACGTGACTTGTCTGTTTGTACCTACGTTTAACGAAACCGAAGCAAAACTGTCTGTTCTAACATAAAGACTTGATAAATGAAGTTTTGACCTATGATGTTGCGATTGCGTCTCTATTGCACGCCTACATGCAGGGTTTAAAGAATGTTACTGAATATTACACGAAACCAATAGGTACGTTGTGGGCCTATACTCTATTTACTAAGTTATTAAGTTGTTATAAATACATACTCAACTCAACATACTCGGTTTCTTACTTCTTCTTTTCTACATTTATCATTATATTCATAATAATATTCCTACTCAAAAATGTCTCAATGCTGAATATATTGAGCGGTATCGGGGATTCCTTCCTAAAAGGAGGGGAAAGGTATTTTACAGTTTACGACCTACAACTTTGGCTCCTAACATATAAAAAATACAAGTTGATCTCAAATTGGTTTACATAACAATAATGTGTAACACTAACTCTCCCACAAAACTCTTTAATTATTTCCATTAAAATTTTCCACCTATTTGACCATATTGTTTATTTATTAGTAACATGCATATTACAAAATCATTCCATGATGTAATTTATAAATGAAAGTGGTAATATAGGGCTAATGACATTTAATTACTTTGTCGTTAAATACAATAAAATGAAATACCAATAAACCGAGTTTAAATTACATCTTATTGATATTACGTAATAATATTTTAAACACACAATACTAAAAAACGCAAAGAAACAATTAGGAAAATAAAGACGGTAACAATTTTACATCGTATTTGGAAACCTTACACATATTCGGTAACGATTTGCGTGTTACAGTTTCGTGGCAAGAAAATTAGTCTATATGTTTCTGCTGACAGTGAAAGCCCATCGTTCGGCTCTACACTGGGTATTGGATCTCCTTCGGGTAGCTTCAGTCTGAATTTTTGTAGTAAATGTGTCAAGAACATAAATAGTTCTGATCGAGCTAGACCTTCTCCGATGCAGCGTCTTTTCCCTAAAACACAAAAAAATAAATGTTCCGAGGTGATACAATCAATCGGACCCAGATTTCGAAGATTTTTCGTTCCCAATTATATAACGCATCTACACATTCTGAATTATTTCTAACAAACAAACGAAAAGCAAGAGCCCCCTGATTCGTAAATTTAAATAATTTTATTTTCTTAAAGGCTTAAAGGTAAGCATTTGAATAGTTTAATTCTAAATATATAACTCGCTTTTTCGGAAAGTTAATAATTATTAACACTTCAAAAAATTCAAATAACGCAAAAGGTTATTAACATACAATATTTTCATTTTGTATATTCGAATTTATATTAGCATAAATAGATTTTAGCTTATCTTTTACTTGTAAACCCTTATAAACAATATGTTAATCAAAATATTCAGTCTTACATTGTTATACGTCAAAAATCATTTAACGGGAAAACAAAACTCTTTCTTCATGAATAAGGTCTTAAGTGGGTGTAAAATTGAAGATTTCGAGATACAGAAGAGCTTACTTCCTTTGAAGAATAATGCTTTTGGCAAGTACTCTTAATTTATGAAAAGTATGACCGATAAAGAAATCTAATACAAAGTATTAAATTATATATCCATTGATATTAAAAACATAATATGGAATTAAATTAAATTATTGATCCGTGTGGTGACGGATTCAGAATACAATACCCTATTCATCCTGTGGGTGTCGTAAGAGCCGACTAAGGGAGCAACAGCACTGTAAAGAGAAGGAAAACCGAACACAAACCCTATACCAACTCGTCTAGTTTGATATAGTAGGCAAAGTAGGCACGTGTCTAGGGGCGTAAAATAACTGTGTCATTAAGTATGCACATACTTACACAATGGGAAAAAATCCTTAATTCTAAAGAGATGCTTAAGGTTGAAAACCAGGATTTATATTACGTAATTGCCACTACTTCTTTTCTTTCATTTTCTGATACCTACGAATATAGCGCTAACCTGATCCAAATGGCATGAGCCACTCGTCCTGCATCAAATTTCCTTCTTTAGTGATGAATCGCTCAGGGCGGAATGCACCAGGATCTTTCCAATGGTTGCCGTTATGAAGATCGTACAATGCGAGTAGTACGAATGTGCCCTGCGGGAAACATTTTATTCCGTTTGAGATACCATAAATGGTGTGAATATTAATTAAAAATAGAACATATAAGAAAAGTATTTGAAAAGCAGTTTTTCTAACGTGGTATATGTGAGATTGAATTATCTAATTGTTAACTAACAACGTCTTATGGTACCCGCATCAATGTTATTTATAACTTAATTTATATTATTATTAGGTATTTATTTATAACTTAAGGTAAATAAATAAATTCACATTCGCAATTATATTATAAAAATATTGGGTTACATAAATCATGAGTAACGCGTTCAGAAATATGATATTTCTCGATTTGTTGTTTTTAAAATGACAACGCCCGCATTAGGAATAAATGCTGTGTCGCGGGGGACTTTACAAACATACATGGAACGGACACAAAGAACACCCAGACTCAGAACAACAATTTGTGGATCACACAAAATGTCGTCCCATGTAGTTATTGAACCCTCAACACTCAGCGTAGTAGTGAGCGGCGTGGCGACCGCTTTAACCACTACGCCCTCCGTGCAGTCAGTGAGGTAGGTACAGACTTAACATTACATATCTGCGTATTACTTTTCTATCTTAGAGACTAATATAGAGAATGGCTTTGATTTCACATTTATTGTATTATCTAATCGAACGCTATCTATTATTTTTATATTCTATGACGTCTGTTAGTATTGCACTACGAACAGATGTGCAGTGTTACAACATGTAAAATAAAGCATCTAAACTTAGAAAGGGATAAGAACTGACTACCTTTTACATTACCTTTCAAAATAAACGTATTGTAGAAAGAAATACCTTTGGTATTACATAGTTGCCAAGCTGGGCATCCTCCAGCGCCATGTGCGGAATGCCCATAGCAGCCACACTGGAAATGCGCAGCGCCTCCAATAACACTGCTTCGGTGTACACCATCCTTTACAAAAAGGTGCCATTTAAAAGAGCTATTAGATTTATCAGGTTTACGTGCCAATAGAAAAGAAACCATGATCTTTAGAATAGAATAATATGGAAATAACCTTTTTTTATTATGAATAGATTTTTTTATTTACCTTTAAAATATATTAGAAAATGAGAAACAAAGACATTTAAAAGGTTTTCATATCAAAAGAGTTTCTCTATTTGAACATAACAGAGTCCTCATGGAAATGTATCATACAAAATAAACAGTGTTTCTGCTACACTGAAGAAATATCTCAACGTGTCTTAAAAATGTATTTTCAAAGATTCAAGACATCTACCTATTAATCTCTTCGCAATAGAACGCACCCAATAAATAAAAGTTAGTAGGTAAATATTTATTATGCAGTTAATTGCTATATACGTGTCTTAATAATTATATTTTTCTAAATAAATAAATAAATATATATATATTAATTACTTCTGGAATTGGCGTTTCGACAACGTTGTACTGGCCGTCGTTACAGGGTCATTCTAGAAGTAATTAATTACACAACGTGCAAGTTTAAAAGTAAAATGAAGTGTGGCTACCAATAGATAATTGTAGATCTTAAAAGTTGACATTTTTAAATATGTATGTACCTGCTTCGATCGCTGAGTGTGGGTGGTCGCAAGGGTCCTATAACCTCATCAATCTCGTCATGTAACCTTTTTTGTATATCATCATTTCGTATTATATGTAGGAGCATGAACACAGCGGTATTTGCGACTGTCTCCATACCTGCCTCGAGTAAGTCCAGGCATACGACTTGCAAATCTTTATCTGAAACTAAAAACATTCGCTTTTTTATTCTACCAGCTTCATAGTAACAATTAGGATCAGTGGCGTATTTTAAGATGCAGCGTCCCGGGCCTTCTACCACCCACGTCGGGCATTCTACCAGCGTATGAAGCGCTGTGTCCACGGTCCTGCCATCGCAGCGGTAGCACTCAGGCGTTGGCTCCTTGCGGATCAGACACAAGTGATCTCCCAAGCATCCTTTCCCGATGATCCCCTGCGTCAGCCGGTATGAGAGGGTTCCGTGATGCCTCTCGAGCCAAGGAAGATCTCCGTGGTATTTAGAGTTTTCGTTACATCCACAACTCTCAAAGACACCTTATTATCTAGAATCCTAAAGGGAAAACAACATAGGATAAAGAAATCCTTCATAAACATGCACTTGTTTAGTAATCGTGACCATCCAGCCATTTATATTATGAATGAACTATTCTGAATAAATAAGATAAGCGTTGTATATCAAAGGTCGCAGTAGAAATGTTTACAATTTTATATGTATTTAGCTTTAGAAGATCACAGTGCGTTTGTTATTCACTCGCTCTTTGTCAACTTTGATGTAAGGAGGTGTAGGACTAAAACTAGATGGCGTTGTACTAACTCTGTGTAAAGTATGCTTTGCTAAGATGTTTTCATTCTCACTGCCATAATCGCCGTGCCGAGAAGCCATCGCGCCAGGGAAATAATTTACTTTTCCAAACTGCAGTCGTGGTTGTTTAGTTAAACTTTGCAATGTTAAAAAAATGCGCCGTTGATTAGGCTGTTTGGTCAAAGTAATTAGCAGTTAAAACTAAAGTAAAACCATTTTCTTGAATGGAATGGAATAAGTTATAAAGTTTTGAAATTTAAATTATAAGATTACCCATTTTCACGTGAAACGTTTATTACCGAAAATTAACATTCAACAATTACAAACATAGGTAATTGTATAAAACCATTAGCTGAATATTATAACTTTAATAATTAAATGTAATTATTTTTGTAAGATAATTATATTCCGTAACTAACCATTAAGTAGCTTTTTGCGGTAACTTGTATCTTGTAGCTTTGGGTTTTTCATTCGGAAATACAATTTTATTCTAAATTGTAATCCAAATGTAACAAATATTTAAATCTCGAAAGTGAGTTTGTTTGTTACGATTTGAAACCTCAACTACTCCATCATAACTATAAAACCTTTTTATAAGTAAGTACCTACCTACACGTTGGTAAAAAATTGATATAGGGTATACCATTCATCTAACGCACAAATAGTGCTACCCGAATTGACTGACAAAACTCATGTATTTAATAAAAGTCAAAATTAATTAAAGTCGAATAGTTCGTTTGTTTGTTACACCTTTACCTTTATAACTGCTTAACTAAGTGTTTACATGTTTTCAGAGATACAGGACGAGTTTAGAAATCCGCGATGCCTGAAACGATTGTCAAAATTTATATTAACAAGGGCAAACCGCGAGCATATACTAGTGAAACGACAGTTTTGTAACTCGTGGAGCGTAGCTTCTTTGTTTATCTACGCATCCTTTTGTAGTATGCATGAAATAGGTCAATAGTTCAAGTTATTCTCGTTACGTCGTACTCATACATATAAACATGTAAGTATATTGTCCTGTAAATGTACTATATAATAATGAGTTCATATATGTTTATAATACTTACATGTTCTATTTTTGGGATCCATTTTTTCTATAAGGAATGCGTCAATAACGTCCTTTGGATTCTTGACGTCAAGATTTCGCTCGTGTTGCTCTATGGTTTCCTGTTGATTACACATTTCTATTAATTCGTGTTAACCTATACTTACTGTACATTACATCTTACGTTATATTAAATAACAAAGGAAGTATTAAACTAAATATAGTGAGCTATAAACAATAAAAGCTTTTTAACCTTATCATTAGATTAAAAGCAAGTACCCTACATTACTACAAAGCCTATTAATGGGTCGACGTATATCTCGTTTTAATGTTTTTTCTAAGCTTGTTCCGATAAGCTGTAATATTATTAGATTATTTTATACATTACACAGTCTTGTCTACAATCAATCTAAGCATTGTTAGTCTATGGATTCTAGAACACAAGTTTGGACAAATCTTTTTCAGTAAATAAATATACAAAGAGCTGAGCGAAGTCTCTTGAAGAAAGTAGAAATTCCATTTACGTATATTGTAGTAGGCACAAGAGCACCACAGTGACAGTGATTTGATATGTCAGAATTAACAAAAAATCATCCAATTAACAAAACCTCCTTGAAAGAACGATGAACAATGCAACACAGATGCATTGCAAAACAAGTTGAGATGCTAGAGAAAATTCTACATCCCTGAAACAGGGTAGGTATAGGTACTCACGCAAGATGCTTGAAGAAATTGACAGCATAAAAGTTAATTAAAGTAATTAAATAAAAAAGATATTTTCACGCAAAACCCTGCTCTCAATAACTTATCTTATTTGTTTCAACCGTAAACATAATTATCGTAACTTGACCTTATCATCACGTCGTTTATAAAACTTTAACATCATCACGAACATGATTGTTATACGTAAGGCTTACATTATGAGACCACTAAATGTTTTTTTTTATTGGGATAGGATGTAATAATCTCTTTTATGTTGATGAGAGCCTTTGATGTGACAGTAGAAGAGCTATAAATGGTCCAGCCCGACTGTAGTGATTCCACTCGGCCTCCTAGAAAACCGATGTTCTTTCGTTGCTTTTAACCGAATGCGTAAGGTTATCGGTGTTCTCCATATCCATAATCCTGGGTGGGGTGGGGCACTAGTGTCTCTTGAGATGCAGGTGCCCATACTCGGCGGTAGTTACTTTCCATCATGTGATCCGTCTGCCCATAAGCCCCATATGCTTTAAAAATATTCTCAACAACAATACTTTTTTGTGGATGTTAGGTATCCTTAAGGATATGTACCTTCGTGTATTCCTGGCAACGAGTATCTATGCAATATTTCATAATTATAGGATGAACGGAACGACACCAATTAAAATACGAACAAAGGGAAAAACCTTGCAGTTCCCTATTTTCTATAATACAATTTTATTGTTATTCTTACCCTCAGAAAATCATGAATGGCTTTGTGAATAGAACACAATTCGTTATATCCTGATAAATTAGGTGCAACATGTCTTACAAAGGGTAAAAAGTTTAATATGCCACCGCTCATATCTACAGCTCTGAATAACCTAGTGATTATGTCACACAATAATTTAAGGTTGGCATCATCTAGGTCGTATCTGAAAAAAAAAACATTTCAAGTTTAATACACACACCTACAGTGAAATTAGTCTCGAGAAATTTTTGCATATGTAGTGGTGTGTATATTACTCAGATCTTAGAGCGCGTTTCCACTATATCGTTCTGGCCTATACAAAAATGTTTCGATATCCTAACATTACTATTTAATTTTATACTTATCCCTAGCAACACTCTGATTTTTGTTTTCAATAAAAACAAGTTTTTATTTTAAAGAAAAAGGTTTTGACTTTATAAAAAAAAAGGTGTGTGTGCGATTCACACACGATAGAAGTGAAACTTCAAAGAGGAGAGACCGATATTTAAATTTTAGGATTTTAAAACTCCGGGGGGGTCTACGGGGGGGTCAAAATTTTTGTTATTTTTGGCCTAGGACGCACCGTTTCCGAGATATTTCAATCTAAAGCAAAAAATCGTCACTTGATAGTGGAAAGTGGAAACACGCACAAAACCAGTTTACGCTGTCCATACCATACACTACTACAAACGCAAAAATTTCTCCAAGCTAATTTACCTGTACTTGTAATATTATAAATAAAGCTTAGTTTAGCGTAGTTTAATAAAAGCTTAGTTTAGCTTAGCTTATTTTATTCTTTTACTGAATACTTTAACCTCAGATTCTAAGAGTAATATCAGGCAAAACTGCCATTCACTGCTACAGTTTAGGTATTAGTAGCAGTGGCGGATTATCCCAAAGGCAAAGTAGGCACGTGCCTAGAGACGAGAGGTTACAAAACGTAATTACGTAGCCACTACTTCTTTGCTTTCCTTCTCTGATACCTACGAAGATTGAGGCTGACCGCCCAGAATAAGGCGCTCCTCTAGCGCCCTCAGAGGGTAGTGGCGGCACCCTCCCATAGGATTTAGAGGCGGAAATGAGACTCGTTGATCGTCCCGGCTGGAATATCCACGTACTGGCTTTGGCACTGTGGAGGCGCTCCATCCGGACATCGTTTAGTGGGCAGGGTGGCAGCGCGTGTTCGTTTCATTTCGTCTGGTCAACGTAGAGTCAGGCGTTGGGGAGGGTTTCTCGCTACCAAAAGTTATACTCTCCATGGCTGGTAGCAACAGATGTTTTGCTGGTGTCGCATTCTTTTGCGAGGGCATCGTGGCTTAAGAGGAAGATCTCGTCATCTACCTAAGCAGAACCGGTCTCAGTGTTCGATAGGGGTCGGTTTTAGGGCCACTCCAGTGAGTGGTGGTGCCTTTCGCAGTGCCTTCTTGGATGGTGTCGCCAGTACATACTACGCGGACGACACGTTCGTAACGGTATGTGGTAAGGCGCACCGTAAGGATTCGGCAGCTTGGTCTCGAGGTGTCTCTGTACAAATCTGAGGCCTTGTTCTTTCATGGTCTTTGGAGGCACTCGTATCGATATCAAGCTCTCGATGAGGTATCTAGGGCTCGTACTAGGTCGGGATCCTGGGACTCGAGAAATCGAGGGCTAGAAATCCCAACGTGGACTCCTCGTGGACTCCTCCACTGGAAGGAAAGACTTGGGCCACTAAAGTGCCGGACACGTTACGGCGACGGTAAGACCCGTTATGGAGGATTAGCTTGAGAGGAAAGACGGGACTCTCTCAAACCGGCTGACGCAGGATATCATCCGTGTCTGATCCGCAATAAACCAACGCCTGGGTAGCCATAGCGGTAAAAAAGCGCTTCACACAATACAACGGTTTAGAATTGTCGTAGATCGCCGTCACCTCCTTTTCCGAGCAAGTTATGCTCGACGAGAGAGGGCTCAGCGGGATCTGAAGATGCTTAGACCCTCCCGGTCCCCCAGCCTGGGACCGCGCCAAGTACTGTAGGCTGCTCAGACGCCGGAGGTCGCTGCATGACCTTCATCATGCAGAAGAGTAAGCCTGGGGTTGACAGGTCACACGTGAAAAAGTAAAAAAAAAAGCCATCTAAAAATTTTAGTATCACATATTAAGTAACGTCAACTAGTAGCTATTATTATTGGGGGCGCCGATAAGATGCATGCCTAGGGCGCTCTTAATACTTAATCCGCCTCTGATTAGTAGTATTTAATGGTGACGGATTAACAAATTAAGAATACGGAGTGTCAACACCCCTGTGATTTTTTGGTGTTTGTTGTCCTTTAACTTTTGGATGAAGTGCAAATGTAAATATATTACAAAGTCAAAAAATATCTTAAATAGCCAACTAGAACAAAATGTACTTTGGAAAAAAAATATTCGAGAAATGTTCTTCATATTGCATATTATTATAAAATTTCATATCAACTAAAAAGAAATCATTGAGATTCTGTTTTCTTGTTTATATATTTTCGTACAAATCCTAATTCCCTCAACCTCATTGACATTAAATACCTACAGTTTGATTAACGTAAACCCTCTCTCGTTCCTGAAATATTAGCTTTATCGGTCATTTAAAATAATTAATGACCATTTCTTTCTATTACATCTAATAAACGTGTTCTCAGTAAAACTTTGTGTATGAGTATATTATAAAAAAAAGCGAGCCTACAGAAGGCGATACACATAATATGACCTACTACCGAATCTGTAAGGCATCGAATCATATTATGTCTTTATCTTCTTCTTAGCAGGAAAGCGAGAGGAAACATAATAATACTACACAGCTATAAAGTACTTTTTCTAGTCCTAGAATGCAAGAAGGATTAAAAAAGATCTTGACCTTTTACCGGCGACAAGTCTCCATAATATGTTCACGATTGTAATGTTGAACATATTATTAATAAGAACTGGCTGTCCAGCATCTTTTATTCTCAGTTGAACAAGGGCCCTGCATTCTTCACGTATGTAGTTTTCCATGTGTCGTGTATTGTAGCCGAAGTCCTTTAAATATTTTAATACAACACGTCTTGTTTTTGTCCAGGAAGAGCCATCGTTGAATACCAACCCTAAAAAGTAATTTTAAACGCATTTATCTTTTACCAATTTGGATTTGATTTTACAATATTTCAAAAAACGCTATCAATTAATAGTTAACGACCACAGCTAGTAACCTTACCTACGTAGGAATATTAAAATTTTAAAATAAAAACGAATTATAACTATATTTACTGTAAATTTTTTCTGTATTTTCTTATTATTGTAAATTATATAGTTAGTTTAGCAATTACACTTTATTAATTACTCATTAAGATAAGACAAAAGTTTTATTCACATTGTTGGTCTTCAATCCATCCGTAGAATAATCTCCAATACCGTTTAATTGTGGCAAATACCCAAAGTACTTCTCTTATTACGTGACTAATATAAAGTGAACTTACCTGATTTCTTACCAAAAGATCGCATTAGGAAAAAGAATCCCCCAGGTCTCCCTCCAAAAACTTCTCTGGAAGATACTTCTCTTACAAAGTCCTTGCCCGAGATTATAACGACATTCATAAGCCCTAGTCGTAATCCTAAAATATTTCCATATACGCGTGCCCATTTCCGCCATATCTCATGGTGAAGCTTTTTCGATCTAAGTTGTAGCGCTACAGAGAGTAAGTTTCCTATAAGCGGCAATGGTTTTGGTCCTAAAAGAATTGAAATATCATTAATCCTGGACTCTTTAAGACCTTGTATATGGGTTGATAACATGCGAAACGCATTAAGAGTTCTACTTTGTTATTACAGTTCTACGTATACCATCCTCCATATTACTATTTGGCTTGGCCATGGTATTTTTTGATAATGGTATTGGTCGTGAGCTCCGGTTTCTGCATTTAGACTCAAGAATGATCCTTTACGCGTCGAGGACAGGTTGGCTAGGTGAGCCAACCAAGCCCCTTCTAGAAGCGCAGAAGCCTTCACTGGAGCGATTTGTATCAGGAATGATACTTGCCCGTTGTGTGGCAACTCCCTCGCATTCCAGGATTACGTGGGTGGCCATTTCTTCTGCTTTCAGACATCCTCTGTAAAGAGGACTGTCCGTCGCATTAACGGTGAATAGTTGTCGGTTAAGGGCTAAGTGTCCTGTTATAGTTCCTACAACTATTCAGATTTCTAGTCTGCTAAGACTAATCAGTCTGCAGGTGAGTCGTGGTGTGACTTCCGTCAGCACTAGTTTAGATTGTCTGCATTCGGGTGAGTTTTTCCACCTCCGGTTGTATGCTTCACGAGTCGGTTACCTGGCCCAGAATCGAAGTTGGTTGAAAGATAGTGGCAGGAGTATAGTTGGGCCGGTAGCCGAGGTTGCCGATCCCCTCCTTGCTAACTCATCTGCGGTGTCGTTCCCGTGTGAGTTACTGTGCCCTTTAATCCATTGGAGGAGTACCCATTTAATGTGGCAAGCTGCTCCAATGCCTGATGGCATTCGAAGACAACACCAGAGGTCATTGTGCCCTCTTTTGTTTGGCCATGTATTTATAAAGTAGTAGTTAGCACAAAACTTAAAATATTATTATTTTAAAATTTTCTCTTACTCTATTAGGCGGTCACCTTAAGCTAATTACCTGGTGGATACAGCCGAGGTGATGTAAATTTATCTGTGAATAATAACACTAAACATAATAACGCAATGAGAACCAACATCACGAATGCTTACAAATACCACACTGAATGGTTTTCCATAGGATTTCCTACCTGCCTCATAAGAATATAGTAGATCTGTCTTACTGATACCTAAGTTCAAATGTATAGACCGAATGTATAAACGAAAGGCCAAGTTGTCGGCAAAGAAAAAATATTATACAAAGGATACGATGCTCAATGATAAAGAAACAGTAGAAATATACTTTATTGTTAAAAGGGGCCCACTAGACGCGGGAAAAGGTTTCAGAAAAAGAGAGCTCGCCAGGAATAGGAGTTTACCTCAATCAGCGATTTTATGACGTTTAAAAAGAGAGAAAATTTAAAAACCATATTTTTACTGAAGTTACGTATAAACATTCAGATACATTTATTAATAAGTTGTTTTCATGAAATGACAAACAGACTTGCGGTTCGCTTGTTTAGGTGGACACTTCATAACGATGAGCATACTTTGTTGTCAAATGCACCTTACTAGATAGTCCGGTTTAGAATTTTTACAAAATACCTGATGTCGTAGGATATTTCAAAAATCAGTGTCTTTGTTAATATACCATCCATCAAGCAAAAGTACTATAAGAAAATTGGTTTGATCTAAAAACCGTAAGTCACTCGCCTAACAATGATAAAAGACGGACGTACGTAAGTTGTTTAGCAGTTACGCAAATAGATAACATATTTGTTGCCGAAATTAATAGTTCTTTATCTTATTATTCGAGTGAATAATTCATAATTAGTCCTATATACACATTTATACAAATAACGTAGGAGAACGATGTTTTGGCCTATTACGCCCTCATAGAAAACCGGCGAATAGGCAATTCTTTCCTTGTTTTCACCGAGATTTAGTAATCCCCCCCCCCTGGAATTATTGCGACTCAAATGCTGGCAACTCGCTTGTGACTCCTGAGTAGCGATGTCCATGGGCGGCGGCAGTCAGTAGTCATTAATACAATTTCTCTCATACTTTTCTAAAAAATATTAAATATGAGTTTATATCAAACCTGGTCAACCAATGAGTTGGCCATATATTACGCTACAGTACTTTTTTAGGGTTCCGTACCTCAAAAGGTAAAAAAGGAACCCTTATAAGATTACTTTTTTTTTTTTTTAAAGACAACTCCCGCATTAGGAATATATATATCCTGTGTCGCGGGGTCTATACAAACATACATGAAACGGACACAAAGAACACCCAGACTCAGAACAACAATTTGTGGATCACACAAAGTGTCGTCCCATGTGGGGTTTGAACCCACAACACTCGGCGTAGTAGGACGCGGCGTGGCGACCGCTTAAACCACTCCGCCATCCGTGCAGTCGACCGGCATTACTTTCTTGTCCGTCTGTCCGTGTGTCACCACAGATTTTCTTAGGAACGGGTAGACCTAGCAAGTTGAAATTTATACCAGATACTGGTCTATGGTCCCTATTAGGTGTATAAAAATTCTAGGTTAACCGGAAGGTAGTAGGTAGTAAGTTTTGGGTTGAAAGGGAGGGAGTTGTGCGCGTTTTGTAACGAAATAAAAGTTGATAGTTTTTACATAATAAAAAGCAAAAATAATTGTGACTTAATAAAAGAGCTAGCTGTGGATATAAATAAAATGTCACAATGGTCCGGGCCTAGGTTACATATCTTAAAAGGAGTAAGAAAAATTGTAGATAAGGACACTCAGCGTGTCATATTGAATGACTATCACTTGTTACCGAGCAGTGGCCATGCGGGTCTTAGGAGAATATTGAATAATATTCACCACAACTATTTTTGGCATGGATTAGAAAAAGACGTCACCGAATTTGTAAAAAGGTGTGACGATTGCCAGAGACAGAAACATTTTAAACCTTTAAAGGAACCTATGATGATAACCAATATAGGAAATTCTTTCGATAGATTTATTTAGATTTAGTGGGTCCATTAGTTAAGGATTTTAATAGTTATACTTATATTTTGACCGTACAATGTGATGTAACAAAATACGTGGAAGCTTATCCTCTTACATCAAAACAAACGGACACCGTAGCACTAGTAAACAATTTCATACTTCGTTATGGTATTCCTAGAGAGATAATCAGCGATAGAGGAACAGAATTTTTATCAACAACAATGCAACAGGTTTGTAAACTCTTGAACACATTTAAAATAAACAGCATGTTTTCTATAGCGCCTAAAGTTTGATGGTGATATACCATCAAACTTTAGGCGCTATAGAAAACAGTCATAAATACTTAATCTCATATTTAAGAATACAAATAAATAATAATACAGATAGCAATTGGAGTTCATGGTTACCCTACTGGTGTTTCGCTTACAATAATACGATCCACTCTGATACAAGATATACTCCGCACGATTTAGTGTTTGGAAAACAATGTAATATTCCGAGTAATCTTTGTAATCATTTAGAACCACTTTAGAATTTTTCAGACTATGCTTGTGAGCTAAAATACCGATTACAGAAATCGCAATTAGATGCAAAAACAAATTTATGTACTGGTAAATTACTACGTAAAAATCGATATGATAATTTTGTAAACTCATTTTCATATAACAAAGGTGATCTAATATTGATTAGAAACGAAAACCAAACCAATAAATTAGATCCATTGTACAAGGATCCTTATGCTGTAATTAGAGAAGAACAACCTAACGTTGTTAGTTTAGTTAATAATAAGGAATATGTAATCCATAAAAATAGGACAAAGTTGTATAACAAAAAACAAAACATTTTGTGAATTTACCTTTATTTTAAGTTTTACTCTGTAACAAAAAAACGACGGGTTGCACTCCGGGAGTGACGGCAGAAGTGAAAACTTGAATATTAACGTTTGCTATAATTATCAGTATAAAAGTACTATCATTTATGTGGTAGATTACAATATTTATTTATTGCGCTATCGTACACAAACATGACAATTTATCGAGACGCTGTCACCATCCATGGATGCGCGTGGCACGCTGTAACATAAACAAACACGAACATTCGCGCAAGCGCCCTGCTCCGCCTAAACGAAACAGCAGGCGCAGGCATATAATCAGCATAACAGGATACTTTATCAAAGTAATATTATATCAATAAATAATATTTTTCAAGACATAACTTATTAGCAAAGAAAAAAATGTCAATCAACATAATCAACTGCCAGCTCCTCCGGTACTTAGATGATCACCAGCTACTCAATGATCGACTCGCTCAGCTGGTGATCTTCTTGTCTTTCTAACACACCGGTGGGCACAGGCGATCGAGACCAAAGGAGAGCCTTGTGCGGTTAGTTTGGACATAGCGAAGGCCTTC